TTTTAATTTGGGTCATGGGTGGGTAAATTATGAAAAATGGGTGGGTTTTCAATTTTTTGGATAAGTAAAAAAAATAAAATCAGGTAAATTATTTAGATGATGTCATGTGTCAATCTGTTAGTCTTAAGGGTATAAACGATCCAAAATATTGACGGTAAGGGTATATACAACCTTAAAGTATAACGGAGGGTATTAACATACCATTTATGATAGTTTGAGAGTATACTTGTCCTTTTTCACTTTAAAAAATGAAGAAATCTTAAAGTATTTGGTAAGAGATATAAACATATGGTAATAGGATAGCAGTCTTCACGTTTTGCTCTGTCCAAACTATAAAAATTTCCAACTAGGCCTAGAAAAGCGCTAGCAACAACGCAAAATAAGGGATTCACATAGATATTGTGTCCGCCTCTTTCTTAGTATGTACGGCACAACAAGTCCTTTAGCTCTACGAATGACTGACAAGGCATGATCCAAGTGACCAAGGTCCTAGTGACGTCAATTCAAGGAAGATTTGAGAAACGAAAAATCATTTGGTTCCATTTCGATTGAACTCGTTGGTTCTGTGTTGATCCTAATCTAGTTCGAGAATCTTTTCTCATAGATTCTCTTCTCCAAGTCAACATCATTAATAATCTCTCATATGTTGATGTTAAAGGGCGAGTTCTTTCAAATAAATGAATCTGGAATTTATCACAGAGCCGAGCATAAAGAATTGGAGGCAGACATGAAAAAAAGGCTAGCGGAGTGTAGTCGCTCTGGAGCAGGTTCGGGTTGTCACTTGCGATACAAGAATTTGGTTCAACTTCAAAGTTGGTGCTGTGAGGGACACGTGTAGCACTTTATTTTCGTAAAAACCTATATGCCCACATATCAACGAATCGGAGGGAGAAAACCACCACAATGGATTTAATTGCATTCCTTGTTGCAAAGAAATCAACTCATTCTTTATGTTTAGTTTGATGAAATGTGTGAGCATCTTTAGTAGTAGGTAGTTAAATTTGCATACTTTTTATTTCTTAATCTGTCTAATTTACTTTCATTTGAATCAATCATATTTTAGCATTGACTTTGTAAGATTGTCTTCAATTATTTGAGGGAAAAAGGTTTGAAATACATCCGAATTTTGACCCAAATTGTCGTAACAATCCAAAACTTTAGATAGGACCTACACTATTTAATAATGTATTTTAAAGATATATAGGTGCCCACATAAACATCATAAATATTGCATCATTATAAATAGAAACCGTCTAAACAGGTTTAGCCCATGGGGCCGACCCAACTCAACCCATATTGGGGTAGGGTTGGGATATAATTTTCAAGCCCATTTAAAACAGGGCTTATAAGCCCGACTCATATAAGCCCTTGGCCCCTGGGGTTTGATCGGGGCCGGATAGGGGTCAGCCCATGGGTCAAAACTTTTTGTTTAAGGGTAACTTACAATAATCTCACGAGTATATAATCTAATTACTTAAATACACGTTATGTTGTACTATTATGAATCTTATCAGATTTTGGTACGTCCAGATACATGTATCTCAGAATATATGGACTCAAAATTAAGTTAATTTGTTCTAGATACACTTTATCCAAGTAGATTCGCTTGTATCAAGAATACATAGACAAATCTCGCGCTCTCGCCTCCCTCCCATCTTTGCTTGTCTCTCTCTTATCTCACTCGCGTATCTTGTATGCGAGATACATACTAATTACACTAGATTTTTTGCTAGTGTTATTGAAACAATACCATTGTTTGTCTTAAATAGGCTTCAAAAATTTTAGCCACGCAAATTAGCAGGCTTATTCAGGCCAGGCAAAAAGCCTTTTTCTTAAATGGGCTCCAAAAATTTTAGCCCAGCCCTATTAAATCCCGGGTTAGGTCAGGCCGGCCCAACAAGCCTAGCCCATATTAACGGCTCTACTTCTCACCTTCTCTCACATAGAATTATTATTTCTACTAAATATATAATAAGACGATGGGACATTCCTTACATAAAATTATGAATAAAAATAATGTTAAAAAATAGGCAAAAGTTTAGGGGAGGACCAAAAGTACACAAATATTGCAAACATTAGGGACTATTAGTGCTTCATGTGAAACCTCAAGGATGATTTTGAGTCTTAATTCATGACTATTTTGGGCCTTCTCTCTCCAAATTTCTGTGCACGTGGGCCCTTCTTTTCCCTCTATTCCATGTTGTTTAGTTTCATTGTATTTTTCTAATTTCATGATCTTACCTCTTACTTTGAATAACAATTTGATTTCTCTTTAGTTTGCGTGTCACAACAAGTTGTTTTCACTTTGTATATAAATCACAAAATAATGAATAATAATTTATAATATTTTATTACGTATTTAAAAACTACGTAAAAAGTACTATAAATCAAAATCATTGACAACTTGAAATAAGTTGATAACTAATACTCTAACTAATAATATAGGAATTTGATGATTTGAAAACTTTAGTACTTTCTTTGATTTTTTTTTATCTTGTTGTTCATTAAAGTTGTTATATATTTTAAAATAATATAAAAATGCGTAAAATCATGATGTAATATCTTAAGATATTTTTAAAAAACATCAGAAAAAATTATATTAAGAAATTTTGTTGATTCTCTAATTTCATATGTACCACATATATTGAAACAGAAAGAGTTAAGAAATGCTATAAATCATAGTAAAATAACAACTAAAAATATTTAAGAATCATATAAGAAATTTCCTTTACTTTCCTAAAATTACCCGTGTTACATAAAATGAAACGAAAAGAGTAACATATGTTATTTGAAAATAACATAAAAGTACAAAAATCACAATAAATTAACAATTTCAAATAAGTTTAGTTCACTCTCCAAATTTCATCAATGTCACATAAAATAGAGACGAAAAAATAGTATATATTGGGCTGCACTGATGCGGGCAGCTAATATCTAGTTTTAAAAGACCCAACAGGCCTTTTGCAATTTGCACCCTCACCCTCACCCTCACCCTCTTTCATGCTGTTGAACCATTTGTTTCATTTCATATGTGGGTCCAGACTGTAATATTTATATTAGTTTACTGAAATTTCTAATCGCCTGAACCCTTAAGTTGCACTAAAAACTCTTCTCCTGGATATAGATTATTAATTATGTGTTCAGATATAATGTTTATTATAAAATAATTATTTATTTAATTTTAAGAAAAGATTTAATTGATCATATATTTATTTATATGTCTATCTCTATTTAGCCTATAAAATAAATATATTTGAGTATTTCTAACCAACAACAATGAATTTCTTCTCTTTTCTTCATTTCTTTCTTTCCTTCTTTTCTTATGATTATAAAGAAGAATATACGGATATCACCAACAATAATGAACTCCTCCTCTTTTCTTCATTTCGTCTTTCCTTCTTTTTTTATGATGATAAAGAAGAATATACGGATATAAAAATTTCTAGGCCTTTGAATTTCTTTGACAAAAGAGAAAAAACAAAGTATATCATGATGCTTCCGAAGATGTTGATAGGACAAATGTTGTATTGAGAGAAAAAATTAATTTGGTATATCAAATTTTTAGGCCTTCAAATTTCTTCAACAAAAGAGAAAATAAGTACATCATGATCCTTAGATATTGGTAGGAGAAATGATATATTGAGAGAAAAAAATTGATTTGGTTGAAAATTTTATAGGAAGAGTGATTAGTGTATCAGGGGATAAGATAATTATTTGGAGAAAGAATTCATCTATTTATGTATTTCATATCAAATTAGGAGAAGAATAAGTAGAAAATATGTTGTGATTTTTTGAAAGGAAACGAAATTAATGTTGATATTATTTCTTTCAACTTAATTATTCTATTAATTCTTTTCTTCTTTTATTTTGTCTTGATTTTTTTTTATGTGTCTTTAATCAAAGTTTATTTTATATATACTATAATTGATATTCTAATTATTTTTTGATAGTTTTTTTTGGCATTTTTTTTAGTAATTTTACAAGAAAAGATGATCATATTTGAATCATTTTATCATCAATGCTATTAATTTCTTTTTCTTTCTACCCTTAATTTCATAACTAATACATTATTTACTATATCATTTCCTTAAATAACTTTTTTAATTATTTATTTATTTAAAGAAATAAGTTATTTATATTTAATAATAGCTAAAATAAAAATGTAACGTGATACCCTTTTTAATCTAGCATTGATACTTATTTATTTTTATCAATAATTTTGACATTTTTCTTATATTTTTATTAAAATAATTACTCAAAAATGAAGTTACTCTTCCAAAAAAAAGTATGCCTCAATATTTATTTTATTTTTTGGCCTTTTTACTAATTAAAAAACTGGAAAATTTTCCTTGAAATTTAATAAAATATATATATAAAAAAAGACCATATTTAAGTACTACTAGATGCTATTAATTTATTTTACTTCATTTCCTTAATCTCATCATTAATAATATTTATATTATTTCCATAAATCACATTTTCTCGTTTCTTTGTTTATTTTATTTTATTGTTAATTATTGTAATTTATAATATTATTTATATAATTTTTAAATCTATAACCAAAAAAAAAGAATAAGGGAAATAATTGTAATATAATGAAAAGACTAAATAGAAATATTACTATTACTATTAAAGGAGAATTGTATCCTAATTCTATTCGGAATTGGTTAGGTGAACTTGACGCGGTTAATACTTACCTATAAAAGGAGGACAGTTCTAGAGTTTAAATCAATTTCCAAAACTTTTTTCTTCTTCCTCCTCGCTAAATATCCATGGATCACCAAAAATGTGATGAGAAGGTTACAGACCCAAAAAAAATCGAAGAGTTGGAAACTCAACTTCTAAGAAAAGAAGTTGTTCTTGATGATAAAGTTGAGAGGGCATTTGGTATTACTAAGTTCTCTGGACAAGTTGAGTTTGTATATGATGGGTTGCCAGATGATTCCGAAATTTTGCTGGAGAAGCGTAAAGTGGTTCTGTCTGGACCTACAGATGTTTCGGGATCGAATTCAAAGAAGAAAACTAAGAGAAGAAAGGGTGATGTGGTTGTTTATCGAGACGATGAGGATGAAGAAATTGACAAAATTCTGTCTGAAGAAAAAAAAATGCAGCTACCGTCTGAGTCAAAAGAAGAAGCAGTTGAGTCTGCCGAGAAGAAGGAGAAGAAGAAGAAGAAGAAAAAGGAGAAGGATATAGAGAAAACGGCAGCAGCAGCATCAAAGGATGATACCAAACGAAAATTGGCTGATAGAAAGCAGTCCAAGCAGGTTAAGGAGATGCAAGAGAGACTTAGAAAAATGAAGGAAGCTGATGAAAAGAAGAAGAAGGATGAAGAGGAAAGGTTAAGGAAGGAAGAGGAAGAACGGATTCGACTGGAAGAACTAGAAAGACTTGCGGAGGAAAAGAAGCGCTTGAAAAAGGAGAGAGAGAAGGAAAAGCTCTTGAAAAAGAAACAGGAAGGGAAATTACTTACTGGAAAGCAAAAGGAAGAAGCTCGAAGATTAGAAGCAATGAGAAAGCAATTTCTCGCTAGTGGCGCTGGGGCTTTGCCACTTTTAACGGAGGAGAGTAGAAAAGGGGCAACCAAACGCCCCATTTACCAAACAAAGAAGTCAAGTCTAAATGGCAAAGCCAAGGAAGAGTCCGTCGAAAGCACAAGGCACATGCAAGAAAATCAGGAGGAGATTGTCTCTTTGGAAAGCGAGGAGGTTAAGGATATAAATTCGGCAAGCATAGAGGAGAAGTCAGAAGTAGTTGATGCAAAAAGTTGGGATGATGCTGCCGATCTTAATATGCCTGGGAAGAGTGCTTTTGAAGATGAAGAGATAGATTCAGATCCCCAACCTATCATTAAGAAAGAGATTAAGGCCACAAGGTCAGCTCCAACAATCCCCCAGAATGCTGGAAGTAAGAAGAGAGAGCCTGATGTTGGTGTTTCAGAAGAAACTAGTGGCCAATGTGAATATAATCTTCGGTCTCCTATTTGCTGTATCATGGGCCATGTGGATACTGGTAAAACCAAGCTTCTTGACTGCATAAGAGGCACTAATGTTCAAGAAGGTGAAGCTGGAGGGATCACCCAGCAGATAGGTGCAACTTATTTTCCAGCTGAGAATATACGCGAGAGAACTAAGGAACTGAAGCAGATGCCAATCTGAAGGTGCCTGGATTGTTGGTCATTGACACACCTGGACATGAATCTTTCACTAATCTGCGTTCTCGAGGTTCAGGTTTATGTGATATTGCGATTTTGGTTGTAGACATTATGCACGGGTTAGAACGGCAGACAATCGAGTCACTAAATCTTCTAAAGATGAGGAATACAAACTTTATTATTGCTTTGAACAAGGTGAGGGTTCATTAGAGATTTGATGATTTTATTTTGAATTTTGATTATATTCTTTTCTTTATAGTTCTTACTTTGTTTATTTTACATTACTCAATGTAGGTAGATAGGCTTTATGGGTGGAAAGTGTGCCACAATGCATCTATTGTGAAGGCTATGAAGCAGCAGTCCAAAGATGTTCAGTTTGAATTTCGTACTAGGCTTACTCAGGTTACTTATTACCATGGTCGTCTCAATTAATGTTTCCTTTCTATGTGCAAATCAATGTTTCCTTTATATGTGCAACATTAACTTACAGCTTGTTGCAGGTCATTACCGAGTTTAAGGAGCAGGGTATAAATACAGAATTATACTATAAAAACAAAGATATGGGGAAGGGTACTTTTAGCATTGTACCAACTAGTGCAATCAGGTGTGTTTTTTTTCTTTTGGTCGGTTATGTTCTTTGCGACACTGTTTTAACTTACCTAATCGATATACAGCGCTGAAGGGATTCCAGATTTGTTGTTACTATTGGTCCAATGGACAGCAAAAACTATGTCTGAGAGACTTACCTACAACAATATAGTGCAAGTATGATTTTCAATATAACATCACTATTTTACTTACACGTGTAACTCACGTGACGATGAATATATTATGATTAACTGTTGTAACTTTTCCTCAGTGTACCATATTGGAGGTCAAGGTGGTTGAAGGTCTTGGAACAACGATTGATGTGATATTGGTCAATGGTGTGCTCCACGAAGGAGATCAGATCGTTGTGTGTGGCATGCAGGTAAGGTTCAATTATTTTTATGGCGTGCTAAGATTTCTTTGGAATTGTGTGAATGTCATGTTTAACTTCTTTTTTTTGTGTGTAGGGCCCTATTGTCACATCAATACGCGCTTTATTGACACCCTTCCCAATGAAGGAACTTCGAGTAAAGGTAAGAACCTACATGTTTCTTTATGCATTCATTTTCAATCTGTGTTTGTGGGAAAAAATGGAGGGGTCAGTTGGGGGACAGGGGTTAATCGAATAACCAGGACCCTATTTTATGAAGAAAGCTGGGTCCTTCCTTTTTCCTGCAATTGGATCTCTTTTTTCCCTATGTGTTTCTTCTAAATAGTAGCTGCTGCAATATTTGTGCTTGTGAACATTTGTTTGGAGATGTTTAGAGTCCACCCTAGTAATGTTTGGACTTGCTATCTATCTCAAGATCTTCTTGCTGCCAAACTTATAATGGTTGGACTAAATGTGGCAAATGAAACTTAGAAAGTTGACTAATTGAAGATGGTTTAGCTCAAGTTAGAGATGTTCGATCCAATATCCACTTATTCTATTTTAACGTTCAGAACTTTGGATATGAGTCTTCTGTAAGGTCTATCTTTGCTTATGTCCTAATATATTTTTCAGTACTGTTAACTTTGTAGTGCATGGAACACTAAAAAACTCTCAAAAATGAAGTCAACTTCTTGATGTTTAATCTCCGTATATAAGGATTTTATTTTCTGTTTATGTTCTTATTCAGGGATCATATGAGCATCATAAAGAAATCAAGGCCTCACAGGGGATAAAGATTAATGCTCAGGTAACGGCATTTGCTTGTTAGTGTGTGTTCTTTGTTTCTTTCTGTTTTAAGGTATGCTTATTTTGTCACATCTATAGCTTGGAAAACGGTTATTGGGGGTAGAAAGTTTGGTGCAGAGGCAAGCTTGTTAAAAAGATACTTTTTTGCATAGAAATGATGTCTGCAATTTGAAATGGCTGTTGTTTCTGAATTTTGGTTAGATGATATTTATGCTTTGGAGCCTAAGTTCCTTCCCCTTTTTAGAGGAACATGACATTTTACCCCCTGGATAATCTGGGGAGGTGGTAGCGATCGCTATAGCAGAAGAATATTCATATTATAGTTCTTGGGTTTGCAATTGATATGAAAATACTGTGTGACAACAATCCGAATGAATTGTTGCTCACAGTCAATACAGTAAGCAAAGAAAGGAGTTTGGGTAAATTGAACACATGAAACGGTATATTAATTTGAATACCTTAATAGTAGAATAATGGAGAAGCTTATGAAACTCAGCCTAGCTAAATCCTACTCTCATTCTTGTGCAGGGGCTTGAGCATGCAATTGCTGGTACTAGTTTGTATATTGTGGGGCCCGATGATGATGTGGAGGACATCAAAGAAGCAGCTATGGAAGATATGAGGTCGGTGATGAGCAGGGTCGATAAATGCGGGGAGGGTGTTTACGTTCAAGCTTCTACACTCGGGTCATTAGAAGCTTTGCTTGAATTCCTGAAGACCCCTGAAGTAAGCATACCTGTCAGTGGAATCTGCATAGGCAACGTGCACAAGAAGGATGTAATGAAAGCTAGTGTCATGCTTGAGAAGAAGAAAGAGTATGCAACAATCTTGGCCTTTGATGTGAGAGTAACACAAGAAGCTCAGGAACTTGCAGATGAAGTTGGTGTCAAAATTTATACGGCTGATATTATTTATCACCTATTCGATCAGTTTAAGGCCTATATTGACAATCTCAAGGAAGAAAAAAAGAAGGAAGTTGCTGAAGAAGTAGTCTTCCCCTGTATGCTGAAGATCGTACCTAATTGTGTCTTCAACAAGAAGGATCCAATTGTTTTAGGAGTTGAAGTTCTTGAGGGCATTGCCAAGGTATTGACTATTTCTTCTTTATATGCTGAAGTGCGCTCGAATGCTATTTTTATTATCAATCTTCATTCTTACAATGTAGACTCCAATCTTCTTAATGTTCTAGTCCTCATTGTGGTTAACTTGATGTTATAGGTCGGGACACCAATATGTATTCGACAGTGTCTCGTAGATATTGGCCGGATTGCTTCCATAAAGAATAACGGTAAGCCTGTTGACTCCGCCAAGAAAGGCCAGAAGGTGTCTATTAAGGTGTGAAGCCACATGATGGTTGATATTTATCCATGTAAAGAATGTGGCCAGCAATTGATAAAATATTTATGCATATGATTTGGCCTTAAATTGCACAGATAATTGGGTCCAACACTGAGGAGCAACAGAAGATGTTTGGCAGACATTTTGATATCGAAGATGAGCTTGTTAGCAAAATCTCAAGAAGATCTATTGACATTCTCAATGCCGACTTCCGGGTACGTAAAATTACTTCATTTCACGGTAAATTAACACTCTATTGTTGCTCTCCTTTGTTTGGGCTGACTTTCAGATGCAACTTTACAGAAACACTTGTCCGTTGAAGATTGGAAACTAGTTCTGATACTGAAGGCCTTATTCAAGATTCAATGAGACTTCTTCTCAAAGGCAAGTAGCTATATATATCTATATATCAAAGGAAAAAAATAGTAGATATTTTGTGCTGCAGCAGTTTACTACATCTGGAAAACCAGAAATGAAGCACTTGAGCATCATCAGGTTCCTTGGCTGCAGAAGAAGAAAGTTCACTGAGTAAATAATGCACAGACAGCAGATTAGGAAAACAAATAGACTGGATAGAGAGTTCTAACTGTGGGATGATATAGTTTCTATTACAATTTTATTTTGACAGTTTTATGGCTACTTTCTAATATAGTATTTACAGGTTCCTCATTTTTTTGTTGCTCTGAACTCGTTGTCGATCGTTTCTCCTCTATGCTGTTTGGCATGTTGACTGGATAGTGAGGTTTATTAAGTGAAATATTTTGGTGGTTGCCTTGTCATATTCTAAAGTGTAAATTGATTAGAGTTTCCGTTCGTTCTGTTCAAAATACCACATCCTGATTGATACATATTGCCTCGACTCAGTTAGTACCTCTAAAATTTTCCCTGAATATTGGGTGGAGTTGAATGAATTTATTTATGTAAACTTCAGGTATTTGCCTACGTTGCAGGAATCAATCAATATGTTTTATTTTCTTTTGCTTACTATTTACACGAAAGAGCTGTAACTTAGTCGGAATATACAATTGTAGAAACAACAAGTAAAAAATGAGATATTATAGTCACTCAACTATCGTCTTTTCTCCCGAATACTATCTTACTATTGAGGTATCTTATTTCAAAATGTAGAAACTTTTCTGGTTAGAATGATTTGTCATCATCATTGGATATCTCATAGTGTACTCCCTTTAATGTATGTTTTTTTCTCGATGTTTGTTGTCTCCTTAAAATTGTATTGATTATTTTTTGTTTGGTATGTATATGATCTCACTTGGACAAAGCTTTTCGTCTTTTTAATGTTTTTCTTTTTTTTTCTTCTCATTCGGCTCTTCTAAATATTTTTGGTGTGAGTTATGACTATTTTCGACAAGCTTAATTTGAAGAATATGAAACAAAACCTACTCTAAATAAAAGCAATATCTTAAGATACAAAAGATATGTCTATTAATATAGATTTGTTGTCCTTCATGTCCCAAGTCATTGCTCAGCGTTTGAGTTAGTTAGGTTAGATTCATTTTTTATTTTGTAATGTTCTAGAATATTTCTTTAACATGAGTCTAGAATCCAACATTTTGATCTATGTGTACTTTCATAATGCAAGAATTATACATACATATTTCTGAAAAAATCGTAAAATTGTATTGATGAAGCATCTAGAAGGGCCTTCAATAGTTTAACGAATAATGAATTTCTATAAGGGTCAACAATATTATTTAGCTGTTGTTTCAAATTTATTTTTCTCATTCTATAAATTTTGTTAGAGTAACCAAGTAATAATAACGAAAAGTGATGAACATTTGACCTCAGACAAGTAGATTGTCTCTAAAAAAAGTTTATTTATGTTGTTGCGGTGTACATTTTTCAATGGTCTTAACTTATTTATAACTAATATTGATCATCAAAAACTTTCACATAATTTTTTTTACACAAGGAGTTATTTTAACCATAAAATTATCAGATTCTATATTTTTCATGTATAAAAAAATAAAAAAAGTGATGTTTAATCGCTACATAAAACATCACTCAATTTTAGCAAGACAATTATTTCATCAAACATATAATATGATAAATTATGTAAAACATAAAAATGATTAGATATCAAGATATTTTTAATCATTAATTATATATTTACAATTCTTGAGATATGTGATAATGTCAAATCGTTTCATTTTTGTAGAAATGTTCTAAAAACCTACTATTTTTTTTTTTCTTATAATAGTTGATTATTAGAAAGGTTGTTCAAAAGGTTAGAATTATTACTTATGCCCGCACGAAGCGCGAACAAATTACCTAGTAATTTATAATTTAAAATATTTAAAATTATTTCAATTTCAAAATCCAAAAGGGTCCATTTATAAAATTGCTATACTATGGTATTTTCGTTTCCTTTAAAATTGCTTTTAGCAAAAACATTTTTTTTGCTTTTACTATATAGTATTTTGGGTTGCTTTGCTAATATAATTTTAGTATTTGTAATTGCTAGGCTATAGAACTATAATTTTCCTTAGAAGCAAATCCATATTCCCCTTTACTTCTATATCAAGTGTTCGTATCACAATCCGGATCTTGTCTAACGGAGCTCTCCGTCTTCTCTCTCTTCTTCGATTTCTGTATAACAAAAGCAATTCACATTTGCATGTGAATCGATTTTCATCAGATCCACTGCTACATATCTGTTGTTTCATCAGGTATGCTCACTTTCCTGTGTTTTTTTTTTTTTTTGTTACTGTAGAGTTTTTTGAATTGTTGGGTGATTCGAGAGTTTTGTTTGTTTGTTCTTTGATGTTTGGATCTAAAGAGTTTCGATTATTCCCGGATGAAGGAATTTCAATTTCCAACATTACTTGTTGCTAGAAATTAATTGAACTGTTGTTTACTGATCAAATAAGAAGAAAAGGAGGGCGAGTGCATTAGGTTAACGTCAGGTTCAGCCACAATGGGAGTAACAAGGAGGACATAGACTATAGGGGATTCATATTATATTGTTGATTTCAACTAAAGACATAGTTAATTGATTATTTGATCTTTTGTTCGGTTATTTGAGGGTGGTCAATATGACTTTTGCAATATACATTATGGTAGTCCCTAAAGTTTTGATTTTTTTTGAAGATGAAATGATCGTTGGAGTTGTATCAAATTTTATTTGTAAAAATCCATCTTTCTCCGGGTGGATCCAAGTTTGAGCCAGTGGGTGTTTGTGAACCCATGCTTCTGGCTCTAGATGTGTATGGTTACAGGACATCTTTTTAGCATAGGATTATACATTATTTTGTGCACCCATGTTTGGAAATGGTTTTGGAAGCACTGCCAGTATAAATACGTATCCTGACTGCTATTTTAGTAAGCATACATTGTCATCCAAATAAGTTATGTGTTCACTACCAGGATAAATATGTAACTACGTATCCATTGATTACTTATTTAGTAAGCATACGTTGCCCATATATCCTTCTTTTCTTCTTTCATTAGTCGAGGTGTGTGCAAGCTGGCCCGTATACCACGGCTATTAAAATAATTCCTTCTTTTCTTCTTTCATTTCTCCATGTTTGCCATTTCCACTTGAAAAGGGCACACATACATATTGATATTATATTGATTCAAAAGATCTTTACATTATCTACGATAGATTACTAATCAAATGATTGTTATAGAAAATTACCTCTAATTCATTTCTAACCAACCTAATAGGCTAAATATCATTTATACCTTTAATATGTTAAAACTGAACTCATTTGCGACAAGAATATGACTACTTTCTGATACTATTGTCCAACTCCCAAGCCACACCACTATTGTCTTTCTTCCTTTATTTTTTGTTTTTAAGAACTCATTTATTTATTCCTTCTTTTAAAAAAGGAAATAACTCTTTTCGTATAGAATGTGACTCCTGTTCTTCTACTACTGAATTTGGGCTTCTTGCTTCAATTCTCTTAGTACAGTTACTAAACCAATTAAATAGAACTTGATAGTCAGATTACACTATAAGAGTTCTCTATTTAAATGACTTTGACTTTGGATATGTAGTCAAGAAGAAGGTATACTTCGGAGAGGTGTTCTACCTGCTAAAAGAATAAACTCTAGGGGCACCAGGAGAGACTCAATCACTAAATGGAAAACACTATGGTCTATGGTAAAATAAGTTTGTGCCAGAATCCCATGCAAACTCCTATTTATAATTAGGAGATGGTCAATACATAAGATCATGGAAAAGACAACTGACATGGACGTAGACCTCAGAAGGAGATCTTCAATTTAGGTTTAAGGGCCTATTTGGATTGGCTTATTGCTTTTGGCTTAAAAGCCAAAAGCCATAAGTTAGGATTTCTAACTTATGGCTTTTGACTTATTTTTGTTGTTTTGACTTAAAAACAAGTGCTTAAAAGCACTTTTTAATTTTATCCAAACATTTCAAAAGTGCTTAAAAAACTATTTTAGCTTAAAAGCACCTAAAATAAGCCAATCCAAAGAGGCTATAAATCCAAAAGCCTCAATTGCTCAATTAGGGTTGATAATAGTTGCATCACTAAACAGTTCCAAAAATATAGTTGGATCACTAAACTCAGGTCAAATGTCGAGGATTGGGAGATAGACAGTTCCCTGCACTTGATGTGTATATTGGGTAAGAGAGCATCACAACTGGAAGCAAATGATTCATTGAGATGTTCCTTTGACAATTAAAGACTATAATCAGCTAATCTGGGTACAAACTACAAAGTACTGGCATAATTTGAACACCGCGAGAGATGTAACCCACTAAACTGGGAACGGGCGAGCATCGTTTATTCTTCTGCATTTGATGAAAGCATAGTTGGCCCTAGCAGGACTTAGAAAATTCTTCTTTGTATTTTTATAAAGAGACAGAAAATTCTCCTTACATGCATTTGCTTTCACTTCTTGGGGTTTCGTCATTCTGGTGAAAGCCTTTGTGCTTCTACTTTCCTTGGAGAAGTGCTTAAAGGACATTGACTTTCAGAATTCGACTTCTTCTTTTTGGCGGGTGGGGGATAGGTTTCAAGTCCAGTCCATATGGTCTGGTGAATTTTCTTGACAAATTGATGAGTTTTACCTTTTGATCCCCTTGCATCTGTCCTCTTTCACCCCTTCCTTTTTGGAATTTTATGTTCTTGTTGTCTGTATGCGTCTTCCTACTTGCCTGCTTAAAGTGCTATAGCTTTCAAGGTGATCCCAGTTGCTTAACTTATCATACTCGGTCTCTGCTTCCATTCATCTATGTTTGGGAGTCTTGTGGATGCTCCTGCTAACAGTCCACATCTACGAAGGTCTGGAAGTCGAGCAGTTGTTTCTGATATTGGTATGAGAAGTTCTCCCTTGATGTGCTCTATGATGCTTGCTCTCTGTTTTGTTCAGTGGTTGTCAAATAGACTGTTAATAGTTGTAATCTGCTAG